GAGAGTATCATTGCTGCCAACAGAGAAGGATTGTTCTCCTGTGCTGGCTACTTGTCTATCTATTATGCTGGTATGGAACTAGGAAGATTAATATTTATGGATGAAAAGTAAGAAACATTTATTTTCCATTAATTTATGTACATTTTTAGTAACAGACGAAGAGAGAAGTCATCAGATTATTACATCATAGGGCTGTTACTATTAATAGCATCAGTGCTCAGTATTTTAAGTACTGTTGCTTCCACTGGCTGGATAGAGCCTGTCTCAAGGAGGATGGCTAATATTACCTTCATACTCTGGATAGTGAGTTATTATTATCATCATAATTATTTATTTATTTTTCAGATATCAATTGGTGCCAATTACCTGTTTATGGCTTACCTCATTGACTTGCTAGTATTCTATATTATGAGTATTACTCTTCCAGTTCATTCAGTATCACCTCTTTATGACTTCATCTACTCTTCTCCTACTACCCACTATTGTTTAATCTCCTCCATTGATTACAATCAGTTCCTCTTCTTCATCATAGCTAACATATCCACTGGATTAGTTAATGTTTCCATCAATACAATGGCCACTGGCTGGTTGGTCTCCTTTCTGTTGATTTCATTGCATATAATGTTAATATCACTGATAGTTATTGTATTGAAGAAACTCTCTTTAAAATTAATGTAATTTCTCATTAATTTTTTTGTTCAACTTGTCATGTGAGCTCACGTGTTTTAAGTATACTAGTCGAGAATACGGAATGCGGTATTAAAATTTGAGGCAAAATGGTGGATTTGAATGAGTTTTGTTTATTTTCATTAATATTTCTCTTTATAGCGTAGATCATGTGCCCCCAGTCAAGTCAAAAGAAGATTAGAGAATGAAGAAAATGGATACAATACCAGCAGCAGTAGTCTATCAGTCAGTCCAGTATCATTCATTATATTGTGTTTATTATTAATTATTTTATAGAAAAGGCCGTGTTCCTCCAGACAGCCTTTACAAGTCATCAGTGAATCCACAACCAATCACGTGAGTGAGGGAGAGGGTGTGGTTATTATCATTAGTGGGTGTGGTTTACATAGAATGAGCGAATATTACAAATATTATCTCAACCATTCAAAGTTCCCATCCCGAACTACACTGGAGGTGAGGGAGTACATGTACATGTACATGTGACGCTACCTGCCTATTGACAGGTGCCAGGAGAGGGCTGGGCATGAGGAGGTGTGGTCTAAAGACAGCCCTACATGATCCGTTTGAAGAGAATGCTTTGGTACTCTATAGCCCACGGGAGGTATCGGCTCAGGAGCAACTGAAGACTGTCAGGTAACCATGGTAACGGACATGTAACATGTATTTATTAATATTTAATTAGTTCTGAAGTTGATGTTCACGGTAAGTAATGATTAATTATTATTAATATTTATTGCAGTTATTAATTCCAGTTGTTGTGGATCCAGTATTATCTAAAGTATTGAGGCCGCATCAGAGAGAAGTTAATTAACTTGGCCACACCCACTAATTAATATTCATTGCAGGGCGTCAAGTTTATGTGGGATTGCGTAACAGGTCAGCGTATCCATGGCAACCACGGGTGCATAATGGCTGACGAGATGGGCCTTGGTAAAACCCTCCAGTGTATAACTTTAATGTGGACACTACTGGTGGGTGGGTCCGATATTACATCATCATCATTATTATGATATTGTTCTATTAATAGAAACAGAGTCCCAAAGGTAAGTGAATGTACTTATACTGTACAGCTGGTACTGATGGAGGGAGAAGTTTTGGCAAATTTTGATAAAATAAAACTGACCCATTTTGAGTCACAATGACCCAATCCTCCTCCTCCATTACTACCAGCCTTACCATGAACTCCTCCACCCTTCCCCAGGGACCCCTACCATAGACAAGGCCATTATAGTGACACCCTCAAGTTTAGTAAAGGTAAAGGTAGAGGTACTATCATGTGAGTATCATGTGATGTTCATGTGGTCATTAGAACTGGTACAATGAGATTGGTAAATGGTTGAGCGGTCGACTCTCAGTGATTGCCATTGACTCAGGGACCAAGGAAGAGATTGACAGGAAGTTGGGTAGGTGTGGCTAGTTATTAATAGTTATTAATGATCATCACTAGGTCAGTACATCACTCAACATGGGAGGGTAGTGAGTCCAGTCCTGATTATAAGTTATGAGACCTTCAGACTACATGCTCCTATACTTCACAGTGGGAGCACTGGACTCATAATCTGTGATGAGGTATGTACTATAGTCACTGGAAGAGAAGGAACTGATGGTAATAGTATGATCATTAAAGGGTCATCGGTTGAAGAACTGTGAGAACCAGACCTATACAGCACTGACACAGTTAAAGACACAGTGTCGGGTCCTCCTGTCAGGAACTCCAATACAGAATGACCTCCTGGAGTATTTCAGTTTATTACATTTTGTGAATACAGGAATACTGGGTAAGATACAGCTACCCACCAGTCCCTACCAGTTCATGGCTCTTCCTTATAACGCACCACTAGTGAGTT